TACACGGTTTGCATATAAACACGGCTGCACATATAAAATCTGTAATTTGATAGCCGTGCTTACAATGAACGATACGATTACGATCCCTGCATCGTAAAACGTCGCATCGCTCAGTTGTAAATGCCCTTCGTTAGTACCAGTTCGAGAATAGGGAAAAGATGTCGATCGGAACTAATATAAAACGCATAGATTGTGTGAATGAATGCGGAAATGTGTTTGTTTAATGGAGCAACTTAGTAGGAATTTTTGGAGATGATTTTTTTTTTCAAGATTTATTTGTGTATCTTGGAAGGTGCAGGTGAAATAAAATATTTATTCAATTTTTTACCTGATATCTGAATTTATACAGAACAAGGGCTTGTCTTGACAATTATATAATAGTTTTTATTCTTATAAATCATATATATCTTGTATAGCAGATTACCTCGACACCAGGCATAATGACGATGACAAGAAATATTTCAAAGAAATAATTGAGTGAATTATTTAAAGTAGGTTATGATTATATGCCTATGTGAGGTTTTACCTAGAAGTAAAATATATTTTATATCATACATTTTTAAATAAAATGTAGAGTGAGCGAGTGCTTTTGCAGTATTTTTTGTAAAAAACTACTATTAGTTGAAACATATATAAACAAAAAAGCGCGAAAATCGGACGCTATGCAGCAGTCATGGTTACGGGGAACTGAAGCCCAAAGTACAGTACTCATCGTTTGGGAAGCAACCGAACGTCGGATCGAACTATAAATCGTATTAAAGAGATTAATTTGAATGTATTTTCAATGCATATGATAACCATAATAATGTATAATAATATGTATCCAGATATAGTAAATAACATTTAAAAACTTGTAGCCATGCTATAATTATATATAGTTCTCTAATAACATATTGCCGATTCGCGTTGAAATATCCGACATAAATATTTTAATATATAAATATATTTACAATTTTAAATCTAATCTTAAATTACGACGTGATGTACAAATTAAGTCGTCTTAAATGTCGGATACTGTAAAGGGCCTTTTCTTTGATTGCCTAATCATAGAATAATGCAATTCAGCCAAATTAGTCGTGAATTCAACTAATTAATATAGCAACTAAGTGGCAAATTCAATTATCTAGGTAAGAAAATTCACAATACAATATTGATAATAGTAATGTAATGCAGTAAGTCCATACTATGTGAAAAGCGAAACGATTTTTCATCATTTGGTCTAAGATTTGATTTTCACTTTAAAATACGTAATGTTACCGTCAATCAAGAAGTTTTGTTAAGGAAAACGTTAGAAAAACTCAAACGTCCTTGATCTAGTCTTGAATAAAATGTTGTCAACCTGTGTCATTTAATTATTTGTATAATAATTGGCCAAGAATGATGTTGTAAATTATATTTTATATGGTAAAATAGACACACTTTTTACAAATAATTACTTAGTAAACCTTATTATTACAAATTATTATAAATTGAATATACACAAAGGACTGTCCTTCTTTTTTCAAATATACAATAGATTTTTAATTAATAAGACTTTCTATTAATTATTTTGTATACCTTGAAAATCCTCCATTAACGCCAAAGGCTTAATTAATTTTGATGAAAATAGATATTTAAATAACACTTTAACGGTTTAAAATGCTATTTATTAGTTAAACTTAGAAGATAGATATTTCAAAGTCAACACTATTATATGTCAAGAAAAAGCTATTTTGGATAAGACAGAAAATGTAACACGTTAATGTTTTCCTTTAAAAATATTTCAGTAAAGGATGTCCCAATGCTCATTGATAAGCTCCAAGCATATGACCTTGGCTATTGGCGTCTTGCGAATACCAAAGCAGACATTTTGGGACACCATGTGTTTTCATGGACGTATTCAAATAGTTTAGTAATTACAAAATATTTCGCGTAACATTTTACATTAAAAATGCTTTTAACCTCAAGTAAAACATAACATTATGCAAATAAATCATATATAACGAACTAGCTCTGTCATCTACTTTGTCCACGAAGAATAGTTATTTTAAAATTTAGTTCTGCAAACTTCTTCTTCATCTTTATAAGTTGTACCCACGACGACGATCGCGTCCCGTCGTTCTTGCAACCTAATCTTAGACGGTAGACACGTCGCGGCTTTTTTTTAGATCATATTTTATAGTTTTTTGGGGCGTACGCATCGGCAACCCACAATAATGAATAATTTTCCCCTTATAGATAGCCTTACAAGTAATAAATGCCAACCCATAACCAACACAAGATTTTTTCAATTCGAACCAGTAGTTCCGCGATTAACGCGTACAAACAAACTCCTCAGCTTTATAAATTAGTATAGGTATGTGTGTAACATCAAAGACATACACACATTTTTTTTCACTGGTCAAGTAATTAATGTGGTCCTTTGTGTCCTACTTTATAGATATAGTACCTAGATTATTTTATTTCTTAACAATACGAATTTAAATCTCTCGTTTACGTCATTATTGGCAAATCATTTAACGTTTAAGTGGTGGAGGTAATAAATATTTTTTGTTGCATCTTTAAAAAAACATTACGGATATCTTATACGTAAAACTACCTAAATTTATTCGATGATAAAACTAATTAACACTTCCTACATAACTAAAAAATGTTATATCGTATCTTAAGTGGCATTTTTTATCTTAAATCAGCACAATAATGAGTTATGTTATTTTAGAATTCGTTTCTTTATGTCAGATTAGTGTGTAATTCCAAATTATTTCCTTATTTTATCTCTTTGTTAGCGTAAAATTGTAATTTTGGGGATCCAAATTTGTTTTTGCAAACCCTCTTTTCATCACTATAAATTTACGCCATTTTCCACGACGTAAATTTAATATTAAACATATAGTTTTATAAATTTAAAAAGGAATCGTTCTCTTGTACATATTTTTTGGGTATCTTGAACCGTTTTCGCAGCCTACGGGAACCCACAGAGATTAATAACTTTCTCCGTTTTTTCCACATCTCCCAATGTTTCTTACCTCCCATTGGTCACAGTTCGACGTTTCATAGCCTATAACCTTCTTGGATAAATTTTCAATTCAAACTCGTAGTTCCTGAGATTAGCGTATTTAAACAAAGAAACAAACAAACTATTCAGCTTTTTATATATTAGTATATATAAGCTCTAAAAATTAGCCACCGCTGGGCCTTCTTTATAGACAAACTAGCGTGCCCGCGACTTCGTTCGCGTGGAATAGTGACTTGGGAACTGACGGACTGTTTATTAAATTATGTAATTGCTTATTTATCGCAGCCAATCTATGTTGTAAGTGCTACTTTGCCGCAATACTCTCACCTCACATCACTCCTAACTCTTGCTCCCATCCCCACTCCCGCTACCATTCACACTCATATTCACAAAAAGCCAAAGAAGAAAGTTTCATTGTTCTAGCTTCAAAAACCACGAATTTCCATACAAACTTTCACCCCCCCTTTTAACCCCTTACAAACCCTTTTCGCAATAAAAAGTAGCCCATGTTTTTTCTCAGGGTCTAGACCATATGTATACCAAATTTCATTAAAATCCGTTAAGTAGTTTTGGCCTGAAAGAGTAACAGACAGACAGACAGAGTTACTTTCGCATTTATAATATAGTAAGGGTGCTTATTGCTAGAACACATTAATAGTCAAAGTATAGCTTTAGCATTGGTATGCTTACAATGTTTTATGATACAGGAAGTTACGTCATCATCAGTTTTTAACTTATATGTAAATCAAGAATTAGTAATTTAATATTCTTTTTTATGATAGAGGACGGGAAAATTGCATTCACTTATGTGAAACATGATGGGCTGTCTACCTATTTTGAAATCTACAGACTGAAATCAATATGCGATTAAACTTGACTGTTTTTTTATAACCCAGGCGGAATTTCGACATTCCTACCCATTTAATGTCCAGATATCCAGACAAAGTTCAACGTGTTTCAGAAATATTATAAATGTGGGGATTAAACCCACGACCCCTAGATTATTGTACCGTTACTACCATTACACCAACGAGCCTGTCGAAAATAATATAATTATACTGTCGTACGATTGAGTTGCTAATAAAGACATTCGAATACATTTCTTGTATCAAATTACGGATATGATCAATTTGCACGTACTCTTTGTGCTGTACCTGCACTTCCTCGTGTTTGTAAAGAAAAATAAAGTTAGTTAGTTAAAGCCGTTTTTAAAGATTAAATAATATCTCTGTTAACAATACTAATAATATTAATCTGCGTTCGTTCGTTTTTGCTGTCGATCTATATTGTCTTTGGAGTTTGGAAAAAAGAACAACACCACTGTTTGGCTACATGGTTCGTGACAATGTTTATTATTTTAAGACGATTTTATTTTAATGTTCTAGACAAAAAGATATATTTAAAAATGTGCTCTGTAGGAAAGACACCCAAGACCCACAGAAGACAGTGTAGTACTTCATTCATATAGGAACATTTTGATGAAGACGAATCATTGAAAAACAATTCCCCCAAAAATTCTCTAGACATTATTTACAATGTCATAAAATAACGCATATTCAAATAATAAAAAATAAATTATGTCAAATCAACTCGTAATATATCAATGATAATATAAAACAATATAGGCATTAAATATTGTCTGTAGTTTACGCGAGTAGTACACGTTTGAATTAAGACTAACGGTTTCAAACCGTGTCTCCTCGTGACCGTGATGGCTGCAGCATCCGAAACGACGGGCCGTAGTTAAAAAAATCAAATAAGTTTAATGAATATATTCCGCATTTTAAACCGTCAAATTGTTTTATTTAAGCAAAGAAATTACGAATTTAAAATTTGATCGCATAATAAAATGTCTATGTGCATTATTATGCATTTTTAACATAAAAATGATTAATATTATAAAGAACACTAAAGTAAAATCACAGTAATGTGGTCGTGGGTTCAAGTCCCACCCGGGTCATTATTATTTTATGATTATGGATGTATAATAAAATTTATATTTCAGTGTTCGATGCCTCAGCCAAGTCACCCCAGGGTCTATTGTTTGGTTCGTCATATCATCTTGGCAATTTTGACGAATGCATGGACGTCAGTGAACCTGGAGATGGCGTGACTGTGGAGGGCCAGTACTGCCTGGCCACCATTAAGTGGAAGGAGGGGGAGGAGAGCAAAAAGGTAATTTTTAGAGCGCCATACTTCAAATATAGAATCGTACTTAACTTGGTTTAAGACAGAGCATATTAGACTATTAGAGTTTCTTGTTATTGTCCTATAGATGCTTCCCAAGCGAATCAAGTCATCAATTTTTTAAATAAAGATTAAATGAGACATACAAATTTTCATCTATAATTTAATTAATCGAATAAGTAATCTTCTCAATTTTAATTGAATTTCCTATACTTTTTATTCACATAAAAACTAAGCTTTGATTTTGTAGGATTAAATTTGATATTGAATTTAAGTAAGATTCCATAGCTCAATTAGTTGTAGCAGGATCCCTGTGGATGCCGATTCGTATCCCGCCTTTGTAATAAAATTTTTTCAAACTAAAATTTTTTAATAAAGTATTTAAAAATAATTTAAATAAATGTAGATATATTTTGATGCTGATAGGTATAATATAAATACATATTTATGGTACATCTGTCATAAAGGGCTATTTAAAAATAATTTAAATAAATGTAGAGTATATTTCTGATGCTGGGTAGGTATAATAAGCTGTCTTGCCTACTCTCCGTATTGGCGCAGTGACACTATGGACACAGTAAATAATGCTCGAGCAGTAATGCAATTCTATGTGTTACTTAGTAGAGAAAATATGTAGAGGTACAGAGTGTGAAGAGTAAACACGCTCTCATCGATCGATCATACTTTTGTGCCTTTCCCGACTTATAAAATTTATTTGGGATTCTACACCAGAACTTTACACACGGAATGCTAGGCAACACATCAAACCAATGACATCTAACTAAGGTTTTTATTTAAATAAAACGCTTTTAACGGGTTATGATGAGGTCATGATGGAACCTGAACGCAAAGAATCCATAACGTGAGCGGTAGTTAAAAATGTTTAAATAATGAAAGTTATATTTCGCGTTCTGAACCTTTAAAAGTTTTTATATCACAGTACTTTAGGTTTTATTTTATATTTTACGTAAATTGTGGTTCTAATAACTATTATTAAAAAAACACGTCCATATATTACCACAGTACACATTTTATATCTCTATTTTATAAACTTTTTTTTTCTACTGGTGACATCTCCACTGTACCCTGGACCGGGGACCCACTCGACAAGTAGGTCACGCACTCCCACCTACAGGCCTAGCCGACAAAGCTCCCTTTGTAGCCAACCTGTACAGTAATAGGTTAATGATGAGTGCTGTAAACCCAAGTTTGTAATTGGATCCCGAGAGTTAAAGCCTTTGTGGAAATAAACAACACTGTCGCCTTCGCAGCTCCGTATTATTATGCCTTTGGAAATATGATAGAGATAATTTAAAGATTTTCTCTACATGTGGATGCTTGAATTTCATTTAATACACAGACTTATCTATTTATTTAGTAAAGGAAACAAAAAGGTATTATATAAGAACAATTTCGATGATTTTATATGTACTTGTTGCCTGAGAGATCGCTCGTTAGCGAAAGGCCGCCCATTGCACTCATGTTAGTATATAAGTTTTTTGTTTTTTTTTTTGTGAATAAAGTGTGAATAAATAATAAATAATAAATATACTTGGTAAAGTTAGTCTATTTAAGTATTGATTGATAAACCACTTTTACTTAAAACGTGAAATTTTCTAAGCCTCTTGTTGCTACATTCTTAAGGTTTAGCCGTATTTAAATTAAATTAAAAATGAGTTTAACTAATATATTTCGCGTTTTAGCTCGATAAAGTGTCTAATTAAAATAATCAGTCTCTTCATTAAGTAACAAACCACCATAACCAAAGTAGGCCAACCACGCATATTTTTTAGTATTTATTCTGGGATGTTTTACCTACGATCATGTGAAGTTCAGGCTTATTTGTCCTTCTCAAGTCTAGTAAACACAACATCTATATTGCGTAATTTTTTTTTGTTTTCAGATCCGCACAGGTCGCGGGGAGAGCCTGCGATGGGCTGTATGTGTACCCAGCGTTTGTGACGCGAGATCCGTCGAGCGTTTCGTCGGAGGAGTTCTGAAGCATTCAGTTAGCAACAGCACTAAGGTTGTCGTCATTGAGAGGGATTGCTATACGCGACGCCCTCTCTCGGTCAATAAGTTGGATATAAGTTTCTTGTAAGTAGAAATAATGTTTTTCAATAAATAAAACAGTATTAACTGCCCATGTGAAACCGACACGTGTGCTCCAAATTGGGGTAGTTTGATTACAAATGAACAATAATCTCATAATCAATATATATTATTTTTGTAGTTGCATTGCTCTATTCTTATAAGTTACAATTTTAACCTTTAGTATGTCCTTGAATTACCAGTTTTATCTGTATATTTTGTGTGTTTAATACCTTTAGTATTTAAATAAAACATTACGGTTTAAAACGCGATATATATTAGTTAAATTTATTGAAAATTATATTTAACTACGGACCAACGTTTCGGATGCTTTGCAGCTTGGTCTCATGGCCTCTCCATATATATATCGCGTTTTAAACCTTTACATGTGTTTTATTTAAATTTGTACTACTCGGGTAAACTATAGACAGTATCTTTGGTCTTATTATTAATTATAGATAAATCAGTTTAAAACGCGGAGTCTATTTATTAACTTTTTTAAAGTGTGTTTATTTTAACTACGGCCCGTTGCAGACACAGACTCCTTATGACACCGGCAGCTAATATATTCGCGCTTTAGACCATTACTGGTACCTATTTTATTTAAATGTAATGTACCCGCGTAAACTACAGACTTCTTACTTCATTATTCATATGACGCACTTGAAAATATCGTGCCATTACTGAAATTATCACTTTAACTGTTTTTATTATTAACGTGTTTAACACTAAGGGCGAATCGTTAATAAAAAAAGAACACGACTACGGTGTTTTTTTACGTAAAATTTTAAAAATGAAGACTTTGATTTGGAGATTTTTTATTTCTTTGAACGCGCTAATCTCGGAAACTATTAATAGGTAAAATTATTTTTGTGTTAATGAGACCATTTATTGAAAAGGCTTTAGCCTACAAAATATAAGGCTGTGACCAATATAAGCAAAAAAAACAGGGGAAAGTTTAAAGAAATGGAAAAAATTATCTAAATTTGGAGGATTCCATTGCGCTGCCAAGACGGTTTGAGATATCCAAAAATATTTTAGAAAAAGTAAAGGGATTATTCTTCTTTACATAATTAAAAAACAAAATGTCTAACAAAACAAATACTACTTTATTGTCACCACAATGTTACAAAATAAGAATTAATTTTTAAAAATGTTCGCGATAATATATGTCTGTCCTTCAAGATTAACTCACAAAAACAAACTTTACTGTTAAAGGCACAAATTTTACGCTTAAAGGCAGGGGCCTTTTAAGGAATTTAGTCGAAAACCTTCCTAAAGCAATGGAGATTGCCAGGTCAGCTATTTATTGATAAGCCTTAATAGTCCATCGGAAACATCTATCGCCTTAGGGCAAGATGTTTCAAATAACTTATAACTTGAAATAGAATACTTGTTTGTAAAAAACGCATTCAGTTATGTGTCCCCGCAGAGAATATACGGAACCTTTTTAAATGGTAAATGCATTAAGGTTGCGAGGTTGATCAGTTCTTTATTAGATGGTTATAACCGGTTTAGACAAAATAAGCCATGTTTAACTTCCGCCATGTTTATTCTTAAAATAAAGATGACTTTTTGACAGTAAAAAAAGTATTCTTTATGAAAGAAGGGAATAAGTATGAATATCACTCGATGCAAGGTGAAATACTTAAGCATATATCATCTCGACCTATTCCGGTTTTGGATGTTCGGAAATTGACAGATTGGACGGTGGTTCATGAACCGGACGCAATTTGGACATTGCTACCACACATTTAGGATCCAGGTTTCCAGACGAAGTTCACATGCTCCAAAATTAAATATTTTGGGTCCATTAGAGATGGACCCACGACCTGTTGATTATTAAAAATACATTGCTACTATTTTAGACTTACGTCGAAAATTTATGTGTTGTATAAAAAACATGATCTCGATCTTTTTATTTCACAAACTTACACCAATATGTCAATGGCCCTAGTTTATTGTAATATTTGTATCTCGATAAACCAGTTTTAACTTTAAACATTTTTGTCCATGATCGGGTTATTAATTACAAACTGTTTTAAATTCATACATGTGTGGAATAAATTACATTTATACTTTACTTTGACATTTTAATATTTATAAGGAAGAGGACATAAATTGGTTACTTTTAATAATCAAAGTTTAGTGTGAACCAGATTTACTTAAACGTGTGTGTAACACTTTTTTTAAGACATGACTATTTTACTAAAAATTAATCTAGACTTACCATTCATACATACAAAGTCATGGATTTATCACGTATCTTCAAAATTAATCATTATTTTTTTTTCTGAAACATATTGGATTTCGTCTGGAAATCTAAATATTAAATGGGTGGTAGGAATAGCGAAATACTGACGGGTCACGAACCACCCTCTACTAAAACCCTAAAATTTAGTCGCGTTTCGGTTTCAGTCTGAACTTTTGAACCAAACCCATAATAAGCGACAGCGCATCTTGTTGAAGTGTTATATTGCTGAGGTAATTTACTTACCATCAAACTTCGTCCTTGTCCGTCCTTCTCTCTCATGAAAAAATACGACGCCGAATATTAATATGAACCGTTTTAATTAACTGTTAATGTAATAAATCCAGACAAAAGAAATAGGCGAAGATAACCTACCTAGTTATTAATTAATAATTATGTACGGGGATGTAGCTAGTAAATTCTCTTGAACGGTAATTAGTTCTTAGCGAGGCTCATCGAAAAGGGTGAAGTCTCCTATGCGAGCTGTAGCCTCTCGGTCGCCCGTGGCTAAAAATCGGACCTATGTCCCGGCTCTTTGACCTTGGTAGATGCAAACGCTCCGCGACAAAAATAGGCCACTTTTTTTTGAGATATTACTATGTGTTCCTATGAAAATATAACGGGCTTTGGGCGAGAGAGCGCCGTTTGCTAAAAGGTGCCCAGGGGAACCCTACGAATCGGTGGGAGTGAGGAGCTGGACGGAACCACGTAGGGTATAGGAAACTCGCCACCGGCGTAGGGGTTTGCGGGCATCGGCACCGTGTTAGCGATCGAACAAGTAGCACGGTTTGTTAAATTGTCGTGAAAGATTAGGCCTCTATTATGATGGGAAGGTGTAGTTGGCGCATGGTCGATGTCTTTTTGAAAAAGCTGGATTTTTGAAGTAGATGAGGGTCGGTAATTCAGATGGCGTGGAGATCTGATTCCGCACCAAATGGTCAGGGTTCAGTGAATATTCTGAAGAGGAGTTGATTCAGGTAAAGTAGGAGATAATAAATTTTGTAATAATTTTTGAGGAAACTGTAAATAGGGATATAGCTGCTCATAGTAGCAGGCTTTACGACGGACTCGATTGAATGTTCGCGAAAGGTTAATGTTTGTCAAGTGAGCTAAATATTTGGTGATTTTTGCCAGGAATGTCTTGAGAGCTTGACATTGGCGGGGCGTCTACACGGTTTAGTACGTGTACTGAGGGGCTACGAGTAAAGTAGATTGCCGCACTCTTATCGGGGTTGACCTCAACCCTCCATTTCCGGAACCATGCGCCTAGGGCGTCGGTCGCGGTCTGGAGAGTGGAGAGATCCGCTGCGTTTTGCAGTCGGTGGTGTAAAGGCGTATATGGCGAAAAGGCAAGATGGGCTTTGGCGGTTTAGGGATGTCGCTAGTAAAGAGCGAGAATAGAATTGGCGAGAGAACCGATCCTTGCGGAAGGCCTGAGCGAAGGGATTTCGGAGTGGAGAGGGCGCCCTCTACCCGGAAGCGGAAGGAGCGATTCGAAAGAATGAGTGGATAATTGAAATTCTGTCGGGACACGATCAATATAGTTTATAACAGACCGTTATGCCAGACTTTGTCGAACGCCTTCGCTACATCGAAAAAGAGCGCTCCTGTCGCGAGACCGCGAGTCGTACGGCCGAAGCCGTGAAGGATGTGCTCTGTGAGGCGGTGCACTTGATGGGTACATGAGTGGGCATGGCGAAGCCAACTGTTCGTCCGGAAGAAGGGACTAGGCCACTCGTTTGTGCCTCACTGTTTTAACGGTTATTGCGCGCCGCCGGCGCACGTCCGTCTTTACGCTTTCGGTCCTAGAGACTAAGTTTTATCGTTACTGTTATAGAAATACTCTGTTGTTGTCTCTTTCATACATAACGTTTAGAAGCCGAACTGTATACAAGGCAATCAGATCTCTCTTGAAATACAAGATATAGCATTTTTGTTGTGTCGTATTTGCGCAAAAGATATAGTCACTAATATGATCTCAAATTCATGCCGCGTAATGAGTTACACATATCCGTTCGATCTTCAACTACTTCAGGGTGGCGTTCGTCAACGCCGCTCCAGCTCACTGGCTCCAGGAGTTTAAGAATCAGTTCATTGAAGCAGCCGCTACTGGAGCTATCTGGTGCATGCAATCCCAGTCTATGTGCGGTGGTCTAAGAGACCGATGCTCTCGGGGCACCCCTGGTCTAACCGCAAATACAGTGAGCGCTAATGCGTCAAAATGTTCATTTGAAACGACAAGATTATATAGACATTTACGATTATAGCAAGGATGGGAGGCAAGAGCCTAAATCAATACTTGAGCTTTATAGAGAACCAGACGATTATTTATTATTTTATACACGAGAGAATATAATACTATCTGATAGCTAAAAGTGGCACAAATTAAAATGCTGATAGCAGTTTTTATTTGACTATAATCCATATGGCTATTGTGTTTTCTCCCTATTTCGTTTAAAACGCTTCTATGTCTATTTTGAAATGGCTGAGTTATCAAGTATTACCTGTAGTTTACGCGAGCAGTACACACAATAAATCCATTTAACGGTTTAAAACGCGATATATAATATATTCGTTACTGGCCTTGGTCACGGTTTCAACTGCGGTGTTTCTCACGGCTGCTGCATAGTATCCGAAACGTCGGGTCGTAGTTAAAATAATTTTCAAACGCGTATTATACCGTTAAAGTGTTTTATTTAAATAATTAGCATATGAAAAATATTCGTTGGCGATACATTTAACTATAAGTTAGAGTATATTGATTACGCCAATTTTAAGAATATCAGCTTTTTTCAAAGCAAAGATATCCTAAAAAATAATGTAAGAATATTAATTTTTTAAATGAAATATTTTAAATTTATGATGAAGTAATTGGGGATTAACCTTTTAGCTTCTAATCGTTTTAGCTTATCAGCTTCACAAACGTGTTTTATAAGTAGGAAACAGCTTTTTCGATTTTTATGTTCATTTTAAATTCCTTACGATAAAGTATTCATATTGTATATTACTAATATCACTAGGTATAAGTCTTACAGCTCCTGAATAAAGATATTATGAACCATCGGTAAAAACTCGACAAAGTCAAGTCAAATTGAAAATCAAAGTTAGAGATCATTTATTCACGCAACTATTGTACTCTTATGAACGTCACACCAGTAAAAAACTAAATGTACTCGTTATGAAATCAAAGGCGTAGAACGAATGAGAAGAACTGGCAGGAAACTCGCCGCCACTCCTTTTATCATCAAGAATTATTTTCTTCTTTCTTACTGTAAAATACCAACAACATGACGAATGACTTTTCACGTTTATCGCGCTAGGCAATGCGTTTAACATCGAGTTATATTGAATATATTTATAAAAAGAGACATTAAAAATGATATATATTTGCCACATGTTATTGCGCCCGATGGCATTATATAAGTTAGAAGCAAGTGTTAAGGTTGAAATTACCTTGCCAGAGAGGCGTAAATATCAAATTACAGGCATTCGTCGCAAGGTACTCAATTGGTTAGAGCAGCAGCACGCATCGCTGTGAATACAAGTTCACATTCCGCCCGTGTAATCAAAATTTTTCTACCTAAATAGACTTCTAATAGGAAAATAGGCTTGCTGGCTTTTGCTGTTGTTTGTTCGATTACATTAAGTAACTTATTTCTTAAATACTGTCTATAGCTTACGCGAGTAGTACACATTTAAATAAAACACTTTAACGGTTTAAAACGCGATATATTGTCTCCCCGTGACCACGGTTGCTGCAAAGCATCCGAAACGTCGGACCGAAGTTAAAAATCATTTCCAAATAAGTTTAACTAATATATCGCGTTTTAAACCGTTAAAGTGTTTTATTTAAACTTATTTCTTTTTCAGAGTAATCATAATATTCTTCGGAGTTGTGTTGATCCTGTCGACAATTTACGAAATATACGCGATTCGCAGCAACAAAAAGGACAGCAACACTCATGACCTGATTGTGTCCTTCTCACTCATTAATAACATTAAGAAAATTCTCTCAACGAAACAGAACAATAGTCTTGGTTTAGAATGTGTTACCGGCATCCGGGCGTTGGCTATGATATTTATAGTGGGTGGCCATGCCTGCCTGTTTATTGGCAGTGGACCGGTCATGGATGCTACTGCTTGGGATCGGGTAAGTTTTATCGAAAATGATACATCCGTATATAGACTTATTGCGAGGGTATGAAGAAAAAAAAGTTTTAATTGTATTTCTCCGTTCCTTTTATTCTCATTATAAAGCTTTCACGGCTATCACTCAGCATATCACTGTTTTTCGGGCCAACGAATTCAAGTATGGCCCGACGTTTAGAATAGTTTGCAGCATCCGTGGTTACTGTTAGACGGGGGGCCAGTGTCTTTAGACACAATTTGTAAACAAGTTTAATATCGCGTTTTAAACCGTTAAAATGTTTTATTTCATTGATCTACAGCTTATTCAAGATCCAGTTAATGCATTCATGTTGAACAATGCTCTGCTAGTGGACACCTTCTTGTTCCTGAGTGCTTTTCTCTTCAGTCGCCTGCTGCTGATAGAACTGGACAAACGCAGAGGAAGGCTGAATATAATACCTATTCTCGTGTTCCGGTATATCAGGTAAATTTTATATAGTAAAAATATATTAATGACGCTGTAAGCATCAGTAATAAAATAGTTCAAATATTAACTTGTCAGCAATGGGATAGAACTAATATAAGTGATAAAATAACAAATCTTTAATAATCACGAAAGTACTCAAAACACAAACCACTATAATTCTATATGTGCTAAATATCAAAGAAGTCTTGTCTTTAGCTTGCGTAAGCATTTCAATAAACCACTTTAGACGGTTAAAAAACACGTTTTTTTTTAGTATTCACAAGCGTTGCAGTAGCCATGTTCAAAAGTTAAAGAATATATTTCGTGTTTTAACCGTTAACAATGTTTTACTTAAATGTGTATAGTTTTTTCAAGGAACGGTTTTTTTCCAGAGTTACACCAGCATATTTCATAGTAATACTGTTTTATATGACCTGGTTGCCAAAGGTTGGTGAAGGACCCTTATGGGGGAACAGGATTCAGTTAGAACAAGAGAGATGCATGGACACGTGGTGGGCAAATATTCTGTACATTAATAACTATGTGAGGACGGATCGACTGGTGAGTCTGAAATTTATTAAAGAGGAAATAATTCTGCTAAAAGATGTAATAAATCTTGTAAATTGGCCAAATTGACACAGTATTATGATGATCACAGATTGGGTGTAGATCCATTTGTAGAGCAGCAAGAGTTCTGGATTTCAGTCCAGCCTGTTCTTTTTTTAATCCATTTCTAATATGCCAATAAACTTCTTTCAGTGTATGTTCCAATCCTGGTATCTTTCTGTGGACACGCAAATGTTCTTTGTGGCTCCCATCTTCATTTACAGCATGTGGAATTGGAGGAGATTTGGATCTATAGTGATGGCGCTTGGGATTATCGTATCTATTATTGTCCCATCCGCTATAACTTTCAAAAATCATCTGGATCCTACTATTCTCTTCTATGCTAAGTAAGTTTTTTATAGCTAGAAGTTTCCACACCTTCTTCCACCATTTTTAACAAATGCCAAAGACTTAACTTTTCTGCTTTATCTTGTTTGTTTAAACATAGTATTGTCTGTGGATGTAAACTTTCACAAATTCTATCAGTTACAAATTAACCAATTTTTTGCATTTTAAACCGTTAAGAGGGTTTTAATTAGAAATCTGAACCTGATGATTTTATGTAATTTTGGTCTAGGAAACATTTTTATTACACGTTATAAAATAAATATGACGGCTCTAAATTAGCTTCTGTTTTGTAATTATGCTTATTATAATTATAAAATGCTTAATATGCCAATATTCAATAAAATATGCCTTTATAGCATTTAAACATGCACCATGATTTATAGCTTGACCTCAACTAATATTTATTTAGCATATAAATTGCAATTTACTTTATTCAAACAATAGTGGGAATTGTTGGTTACTTTTAACGTAATCTATACTAATATATAAAGCTGACGAGTTTGTTTGTTTGAACGTGCTAATCTTAGGAACTACTGGTTCGAATTGAAAAATTATTTTTGTGTTGGTTAGAACATCTATAGAAACATAACGCTTTAACTAATAGAGGCGAAGATGCAGTGGGGGGGTGAACAAAACGGGGGAAATTTTTCATCTCTGTGGGTTTCCGATGCGTACGCTGCGAAAACGGTTCAAGACAACCAAAAATTATATATGAAAGAATGATTCCTTTCTAAATTATATAAAAAAATGTCCGCATCACTATACGTTTATCTTTTAAGATTAACTCGCAAGAACGACCGTACCCGTACCCGACCGGACCGTACCCGAACGATATGTCGTGGGCAGCTTTTGTAAAAATAAAATTTGGATGCCCAAAATAACTATTCTACGCGGACGAAGTCGCTGGCACAGCTAGTATTTAATAAATTAAAAATCGGTTATAGAAAAAAATACGACGCGGGCAGCTCTTGAACCACAGCTTTCCGTGTTGTTGATCTACCTAATTGAGCTACCCAAACGTCTTTTGTCGAATTTTTTCAACCTACTGATATATGCACCTCTCGCGCAATGTAATTACAACCTAAACATAATATTTGATCATTAGGGAGTTTACGGACTTTGCGACCAACTTTTACTTCATAGAGGCTTATATCCGGACGCACATGAAGATGACGCCTTATCTCATGGGATTGCTTACTGGTTACATTCTGCATAGGATACAGACAGAAAAGTAAGTTTCATTATATTAGTAAAAAGTGTTAATGTCTTTTAGTATGTAAGTCTTAATTGTAACAATTATACCTTAAAGTAAAACAAGTTTTAAGGTTTAAAACGCGAAACGTTTTAGTTAAATTATTGAAAATATATTTTAACATCGGCCCGACATCATCACGGGGGGAATGAAGATGGAGGGTGTCACTAATGTCAAAGTCAAATCTGCTACGCTAGCGCCATCTGTTTCCTCGTAGTTCTTATTTGGAGAAACTGGGTCCTTACAGAATTGTCTCACGTTGTTCTCTCGTTTTGCAGTATGATGTTTCTTGGTAATTAAGTTGTAAATCCGAAACGTCGGGCCGTATATAAAGTACATTGTAAAAAATTTAAGTCATATATTCCGTGTTACAAACCGTTAGCATTGTTTTCTTTAAATGTGTAATACTCGCGCAAACTACATATATTTATATTGGTGTTGAGTTCAATAAAGAGACATTAAATAAATATTGACTCTATGTGTTCCAGTTATCAATTCTCAAAAGTTCTCAAAATCTTCGGCTGGACCACTGGTATTATCTTAGGGACGGTAACGAGTTTCTCTATCAGCCTCTTCTATCAAGACTGGTACCAGTACAGCACCATAGAAGCTGCTGCGTTTATATCGCTGCATAAGTTTGCTTGGAGCATCGCCAATGGCTGGCTTATCATTGCTTGTGCTACGGGCAACGGAGGTAAATATTATGAATCCAAAAACCACGTAAGTCCTGTGTTAGTCTAATGGATAGTTTAGATGGCTTTCGATATCGAGGTAGGGAGTTCGATTCTCAGCGTACTTTGAAGGCGAAAAGAGGCATTATGTCGGTTCTAGATAACCGACATATCCGAACCAGACTTCTAACGTTTGTGTAATGTTAGTAATGTACGGCTAATAATCTACGGGTTGTGGTTTCGATCCCCACCAGGTCCAAGATGTACCTTATTAATTTATATATTTTCTGAGACATGGACTTCGTGTGGAAAAGTGTATGGTGAAACTACAGATGAGAAGGCCGTTTAATCGCATTTCGATTTCAGTCTGTATTTCACAATGTTAAGCTAAAATAGGTCGATAGCGCATCGTAATTAGATGTTATGTGGCTGGGATATTTTACCTACCATCAAGTGAACTCTATGCCTATTTGTCCTCCTTTATCATAAAAAAGCACTTCAATGATGTATACCTAACTTCTTATCCTGCAGACTACGTTACCTAATAACGTTTGTGTTAAATAAAACACTTTAACGGTTAACGCGCTATATTAATTAAACTTGTTTGAAAATGATTTTTAAATTCGGCCCGACGTTTCGGATGCTTTGCAGCAGCCGTGGCCACGGGGTAATCATTTTCGTATAAGTTTAACTAATATATCGCGTCTTAAACCGTTAAAGTGTTTTATTTAAATGTGTACTACTCGCGTAAACTATAGACAGTATTTAACGTTTGTTTTTTGAACACCAATGTGTACCAGTTATTTTAAGAAAAAGGGTTGATATAACCAGACTCTTAATTGCTCAGGGTACAGTTATTTAATAACTTGGTTTTAAAATAAGTTTTGGAAAATAAGAAAATGTAATGTATTAAATAACACTTTTAACGGTTTAAAACGCGATATTAAACGGTGGAAACATCGTAACTGCAGTTAAAATAATTTGAATTGATTTAACTGTTTTATTTCGCGTTTTTAACCGCTAAAAGTGTTACCAAAACTTTGACGCTGTCTAGATTTAATGCGATTTCCCTTACAATATGCATAAAAATGAATATTAACTGAATGATTGGTTCTTCCAGGTCCTTTGGGAAAATTTCTGGCGTGGCGGTTTTTAGTGCCTATAGCCAAGTTAACATTCTGTGCTTATCTGGTCAATGGTGTTGTTGAGTTGTACTACGTCGGGCAGTTGAGGCATCCATTGCATATTACTTTCTTCACTATAGTAAGTAACTAAGAAGCTTCACATACACACATATATATATTTATATAGATTAAAATTAAACTCCATCACAAGATCCAGATTCGAACCCTAGCAGGGTATGATTGGTTATAAAACAAAGATGAAATGAAAACTGAATATCATCCTAAGTAAATGTAGTAATAATACTAAAAAGTTGTTAGTACACTTTGAATTAGGTTAAAGATACACAGACAATGAAGTATATACTTCATTGTCTTCTTCGTTTTTACGTTTTTCTTATACAATTTTAAATTTCCAGACTGCCAACGCTATTTCCCATCTGGTATTAACTTTCTTCCTTGCCTTAATACTCTGCGTTATGTTCGAGTCACCTTTACATGGTATAGAGAAAATACTTCTACGAATGTTCGGTAAGTTTCAAGATATGTATGTAATATTAAGTAAATGTATGTGTGAAATCCCATTTCCCCTTCCTTCCTTTCCCACATGGGGCGAACACATTTCTGTGTCCGTTTCACTGATACCTTCTTTGACAAGGAAGTAGTAGATTAGACTTCTGTGCCCTGCCTGACCGAAACAATTTTTTGTTTCCATGGGATTCGAACCCAGGACCTCTCGCACTTAACGCGTGGGTTGGAGCTGATATCAGTCCTCTGTATATTCTAATATTCGCTTTAAATTACACGCAATAAGGTAATCAGACGTCTGTGTCTTGTCACACCATTTTTTTCCCGGGGTTTAAATCCAAGACTGCTCCAGTAAAGCGTTTAATCAATGAATCACAGTGGCTACTCAAAGTCATCAGTGAAATTGATACACTGATATATTGGTCGATTAATAAAAAAATATTATATTATAATCTTGAAGAATGTACAGTTATAGAAACTATTTCTATTTCAGCACGTCCAGTACTAAGTGACAATGCAACAAAGAAGACTGAAGATGAATTTTCGCGCAATACTAGTCAGTCTAGGTTAGATACATAGTAGGAACTAGATTATATCACTATAAATTTGATAAGTAGTGAAAGGGGCCCCGATTCTGCTATTTACACTGGTTTCTCACTAGACTGACATGTGATTTACCAGAAAAGGGTTCGAGTTTGAGCCAATACGCATTGGGCCTTGCTCATTCCAAAATTAGTTAAACTTATTGCTTTTAAAAGGGGAAAATCTATATCGTATAACATTTTGTTAAAATTTTTTCCTGTAATCAATAATGACTCAAAAATAATGACATTTGACTCGGATCTCTATTATTTTTTGTTTGCTCGTTTCTGTAAAATACGCAGGTAAGAATTTAAGCGAAAAATATGAAGTAAATAGATAAAAAAGTACTAAGTGAAAGCTACTTTATTCTTGTATAAGAACTGAGATGAAAATGTCTCTTATTTTCCTACGCTAAACAGTCTTTTCAAGCGCTGAAACTAACAATTTGTAAAAGAGTGAAATGTCATGAGCAAAACATAATAATCCACTGTCAATAGTAATTTAGTTTTGTACTAATTCATACTAAACAAGACTTTGTTACAAAAACAGTGAAAAGTCTTCTATGTGATAAAAATCGTAAAGAGTAAGAAATAAAAGCAAATTTGTGTTATTTAAACATTGCGCATTGACAATTAGCAGGAGCAAAAAATACGTTATTTTGTAAAAAACTTAACTCTTAGTAAAGTGGTAGTGGAAATTATAGTTTTAAGGGCCCCTACGGTACCATAATAAAGTAATATACCTAGATACAATTTGTAAATATATGCTCAATTTTAGTAGTACTAGTTAGGTAGAAATGTATTTTTATTTTTGTAATTAAATATACTGATTTTCAATTTTTTTTTTCCAAATTTTTTTGTATACCAAATGAGTATAACCTTTATATAAAAGCTAGCTGGCGTGAGTATTTCGTTATTGTGTAAGGACTAATATTTCACTTTTTTTTAGACTAGTATTAAGAAATAGTTTTTAATATGGAGTTTAATTATTATGCTTTTTCTCAGCTGGAACTCAGGGTGTGACCACTATGAGACACGCAATAGTAGTGCCAAGTGAGGATAAAAACGATGTAACGTTGACAAGTGTCTTTAAAATACCTGAGTTAACAAAAACTATAGAACTGTGACAAAAAGTGACAACGATTTGAAATTAAGTACAAGATTTATAAGGGTTAAGCAATTGTTTCCGAAAACGCTTATCTCGGCGCAAGCCAACACCTAATTACAAGAAAAGCGATCTGATAAAATTTCCTCTAATTTTAATCTGAGCGAGGCATCTTAGTGAATTGCTATTTTGTTTGGGTAAGGGACGAAATTTCTTTAAGACAGTCGTTCTATGTTATATTTTATTCGTCTCCCCATTATTCTTTATAGGATTTCGTTATTTAATAATCTGGCAGGATTTCTGGATCACAACCAACATTACTTGTTCTAAACGTAATGCGGAATTATATAAACCACTTTTAACGGTTTATAAATAAAAATGAAAAAATACTGTCTGTAGTTTACTCGTAGTACACATTTAAATACAACAATAAACGGTTTAAAACATGAAATGTGTTAGTTATAAAACTTTAGTTTTATTACATGAAGGCTCTATATAATTTAAAAATCGAAAATATATTGCTATCAATTGATAGAGCAACAGCACGGAACGCTGGCGATGCCGGTTCAAGTCCTGCCCGAGTCGAAAATTTTTTCAATTTATTTTCGATTTTTAAATTATATGTAAGTTAGACTTATTTGGAAATCATTTTAACTACGGTTCGTCGTTTTGGATGCTTTGTGGCAGTCGTGGCCACAGAAGGAATAGATAAAGTGTGCGCACAGGTATAAAATTGTAATCTGCTGCGAAAGTGCCATCTGTCTATGATATTTGCGGAAACTAGCTTATTCTTTACATAATTGACTCATAGAGGAAACGTTAAAAGTTAACAAATACATTTTGACTTTAGTACCGTTAGTTATACAATTTTGACGGGCTCGTTAGTGTAGTAGGTAGCAATCTATGGGTAATAATAATCAACGGGTCGTGGGTGACATCGCTACCGGGTCTAACTTGTTTCTAAGCAATTGATAATTTACTGGAAATCTGGAAAGAAAATGTTTGGTAGGGATATCGAAATTCACCCACCACCGTACAGACATGAATACGCGGTGAAATTTAATCGCGTTTCGGTGTCGGTCATTTTAGCATATTTAAAACAAAATCCATCGATAGCGCATCTCGTTGAGATGTTATATGGCTCTGATCAAGTGCTTGTCTTTACATATAACTATTTCACTACAAACGGCACAACGTGTCACTAGCCCTACGTTCGTGAAAAAGGCTCTTTCTCTTAATTCACATCGGCTTATAGTCGAAGTTTAACTGAAATTGAATATTTGCATTGTTCGCCAGCGGGAGTTGGACAGTTTTCAATTACTCTTGGCCAACTTAGCTTAAGTGCAGCCGTCAACTATTTCACAACTATAATCTTTGTGTTGCCTATAAGCAATGTGTGCTCGCCCGTTTGCAATTTGACGGATAGTTTACGTTTGGAATTTGGTAACAAATGTAGTTATAATATACATTTTAGTATGTATTTCATATTAATTGATCGCATCTAGTGTAGATGTTACATAGCTGGGATTTCACCTCCCATAACGTGAGTGCCATGTTTGTCTGTCCATCTCTAAAATTAAAAAAAAAAAACAGCGTTCATGCTGCTATAACAAATTGAGCTACAGTGATCTATGTATTTTCAGTTTTTTTAAGCTGAACTTAAATTAAGCTCATTAGTTGAACGAAGAAGAAATAATTAAATAAGTTTTCCTTTTACGTACAGATGTCTTTTCTAATGTAATTTAGTCAACCTTAACTTAAAATAATTTAATGTTTGCATAAAACGCGTTTAAAACTTATCGAAATCTTAAATATCGAAAATTCTTTACTATATTTACACATATATGGTGCGGATAGAGAGTCCCTAGTTCCCATACTAGAGTAAACCTGTGTCATGTGAGACTAGTAATGGACTCTTCCAAGTTTAGTACTATTAAAATCTTAAAGTTTATATACGTATTAGTGAGAGATGCATGTTTTGTATGTTAACTTCCTATTTACTGCGGTCAGATGTTACTGGGGTTCATGACCTGGCGTTTCGCCTCCATAACCTAAAAATATTACACTGTACCATCTGTTAACGCGAATAATCTTCTAATATTAATAACATCTCTATTTTCCCACGCCCGGGCCATATTACACGCAAAATCTGACAAAGTCCACGTCCTACGAAGTTAATCCAAATAGCAGCCTAGACAAACAAGTATTAGTTTACCAACGCTTATTCTTGTCGTGGGGTCAAAGAAAATATCTTGGAACAAAGGGTCAGATCGTAAACGCAGAATAGATGTTAACAGTTGGGATATCAGGAAATGTAGGCAGCGTTTTAACTTGTGTATTATTATTAATATTTTCTATGATAAAGGAGTATAGAAAGGCTCGCGTTCACTTCGTGGAAGGTGAATTCTCCAGCTATAAATTCCCATCTTGGGAATTCCACAGCCTGAAACCGAAAGGTGATTAAACTTCACGGCTTTTACTTATGTAGTTTTCAGATTGCCAAACAAATCCAACAAGGTTTTATTAAACATTATACATTGTTTAGTTCAACATTTAAATAAAACACTTAAACGGTTTAAAACGCGATATATTAGTTAAACTTATTTGGAAATGATTTTTAACTTCGGTCCGACGTTTCGGATGCTTTGCAGCAGCCGTGGTCACGGGGAGACAGTAGTTCAACATGTTGGACGAAGTGGGAATCGAAGCCACGTCTCATTGTTTATGTGTCATACCAGACTTACGCCTAAAGAATGTTGAAAATTTTTTTCACGTAGGTATTAAAAAAACGAAATACTTTGACATTTCTGTCTTCATATGAGGAGATGACTGTTTCTTTGAAATATATTAGAACTTCGAAACAACATACAACAAAATAATATAACATAATAAACTACAACTAAAAATTACCACAACTAAAAAAATAAATCAAAGACCGACCTTTTTCACTGCTCAAAACTAGTGAAGAACCATTTTTTGATCTTTATTTTTTATATACTCTGTAGTTTTATAACGGCTAATTTTATAGTTAGGCGTCGCTACTGCACCAAAATATTCTGTGCCATAACTACGCTACAAACAGTTGTAGGGGTAAACAAGTGGGGATGAATAATATATCCCTTGCGTAATATCACCGCTACTAGACGCTCTTAAATTCTTTTGTGTAAATGTATTTATTCTTTACATGAACAATTTGAAAATTTAAAAGGCAAGTCAGAGAACATGTGTTGATTTTATGTAAATCGAAATATAAAATGTCTCAACCTATTTGTGTCCTGCTCGTACTGCCTGTTAAAAGGATACTTACTAACGGTTTAAAATGCGAAAAGTATTAGTTTATCTTATTTACAAATTACATTATATATTTTGACTATAGTCCGACTTTTCGGATGCTTTGAATAAAAGAAGCTTTTAGACCTTAATTTGATGATTGTGAATGATTTTTTAAGCTGCAAAGCATAGGTTATTAAACCACAATTAACAATTCAAAAAAATACAATTTGCGATAGGTATATAATAGTAGGTATGACGCGTAGAACACGGTAGCTCCATTGGTTAGCGCGGCAGCACGGAACGCTGTGGATGCCAAAAAGCCGTGAAGGTTACTCGGTCTTCGGTTTCAGTACCTATATATAAATAGGCATTTTAAATGGCTAAGATATTTAACCTTTAAACAAGTAAACTCCATATTCATATGTCGTCTGTCATAAAAAACATGGGTTATTTTTAGATAACTTGTCTTTTAAACACCTCGCGTCGCTTGCCCGGAAAACTTGGGTTAAGATTAACGATGCGGCGACGTGTCCCTTACCTTCCCACCTGTGGTGCTTACATTATGTAAATATGTTTAATTTCACCCGTATCTGAGCAACGGGTAATAACATTTTTATCCA